GCTTTGAAGATGGACAGATCACAAGCCACGGAATGCTGTCAGGCTTCAGATGCTAGAAAAGGCAAGAAAACCAGTTGCCTCTCAGAGTCTCCAGGAGGAATGCAGGCATGCTGACACTTTGATTTTTAACCTGTGAGACCCATTTCTGACCCACAGAACTGTGAGATAATACACGTGCATTGTTTTAAGCAACTAAGTTGTCAGTATTTCCTAAAACAGTAAGAGAAAACTCATACAGAAGGGAGCAGGATAAAAGGCTTCCTCCTCACCAGACTCCCCTGCTCCTTATCAGTATTGTATGGGCAGAGGAATTGCCTTTGGTGGTTTAAATCGTTCATGATTCATCCCTTGGTGCTGGAATCCCACCTTCCTTGAAATCAACGGATTTCTGCCACTACGTAAAGTCAGATAAGAATGAAATATAGATGCTGATGAGGAGCACGGCTCCTGCCAGGGTCCTGAAAGCTTGTAAAATTGCAAAGTAAATTCTAAGCTGTTAGTAGTCAGGATGGTGGTTTCAGTGTGGATATCATGGCTGGAAGGACACAGTAGGAGCTCCTAGAGTGCTGATAATGTTTTGCTTCTTAATCCATGGTGCATTCAATTAATGAAAGTTTTATGATTTGGGCACTTTTCTATACAAGTATTGCACTCAATAAAAAGGCTTAAAAAGTTATGAAAATCACCACATAATACATGAAATATCTGTGCTTGCCCCAATCCTGAGCGTGACCCTCAGCTTCAGCCTCTAATGAACCCCTGCCCCTCTCTCTTCTGCCACATCTGCATCAGTGAGGTGGGGAAGGAATAGGGGGCCTCATTGATGGTGTGAACATCAGATCAGACTGTGAACATACAGGTTGAGTATCCCTTATCCAAAATGCTTGGAACCGGAATTGTTTTTGATTCTGGAATTTTTCGAATTGTGGAATATTCGCATGATAGCAGTTGAACATTCCTAACTGGAAAATCTGAAATGCTCTAGTGAGCATTTTTTTTTTGAGCATTATGTCAGTGCTCAAAAAGATTGAGATTTTTGAGGCATTTTGGATTTTGGAATTTGAGATTAGGAATGTTCAACTTATATGGAGAGACTTTTGAAAACAGCAACATGCCCCTTTCAGTTCACCAACATATGTAGTCATTCAAATTGCCTCACTTGGGCACACATCATATAGCTTCTTTAAGTATAATAATGATTATATAACATCTCTTTTTGCTAATAAAAATAATGCTGTTTTATCTACTTAGAGTGAGGTTGAGGATGGGAAGATGGCTTTTCATTTTCAGTCTCTAGGACACACACAAACCTGGGTGCATGGTAGGTACTCAGTAAGTAAGTTATGGAATGAACAAGTACGTGAATTGTGAGCAACCAATGAGAAAGAAGGTAAATTATCTTATTTGTGACAAATAGCAATTAAAGAAAAACTGGAAACTTAGCAGGGCAGTACCAAGGAGTAGTGTCGGTGTTCTGTTTCCTAACTACATTTACATCACACTAAATATAATTAATAGGTTGTTAAGCATCGTTCCCTTACTTAACAAAAAAATCAGACTCTAACTTTTCTAAAAATGAACACACTGCCTACTGCTTGAGTATCTAAAAGTGAAAAAAATGTGATGGAGTGAGGTGCCTTAGTTCCCAAGAGTCATGGCACTTGCCACAGAGCCAAAGACTTTTAGCGTCCTATTTTAAACACTTCCCAGGCAGCCTCCTCAACAGAACACCTTACCCATCCATCCAGGCTTCCCTTGCTTACTCAGGCCCTACCCTAACTGGACCAGGCCAGACACTCCCACTTTTCCCCCATCCACGCTTTGTGTACCTCACTCTCTGATGATAATTAGGCTAAGAATAAGCTGAACAAATGTTTTCTTACCTTTTGCCAGTGTTATCTCTTTGCAATGCTCTTCCTCCTCAAAATCTTGGAAAATATCACCCTACCCTGCCCCCAGTGCCAGGTGCCAAGTGCCAGGTTCCTTACTCTATGAATCCTATTTGTAATTCCTTCCAGGCCTTGGTGATGGTTGTCTCCGTGTGCTTCAACCTGGCTTGTTTATCCTACGTGCAGAGCCCTTGCCACACTGGTGCAAAATAGCCAAGTATGTGTGTGTGCTTCTCATTTGATTATGGGCACATGCCATGTCTTACCCCTCTTTAAATTCCTAGCACTGATTATAGCACTGGGCACCTAAAAGATGTCTGCTTAAAAGCATACTGACTTGCATAACCATACCGATATCCTAGTACATACTGACTGATGCCACGCGTCTCCTGCATAGCACTGGCCCCTTCAGAATGCCTTCTCTGTTTCTAGCACTTTTCTATGTCCTTTACATGGATGAACTCATTTGATCTTGACAACGGCCCTGTGTTCATTGTCATCATCCCTATTTTAAAGGTGAGGTATTTGAGGCATAAAGTGGCTAAGTAACTCACAGGGGCACACAGCTTAGTGGCTAGGAGCCAGGGTCATGCAAGCTACCCTAGATGCTCTACGGCCTTTAGACTTTCAGTAACAATGTTCGTTTCTTGATTACCAAGAAATAAATGAGGTGAAAGAGGGCCTAACAGGTTGTGGGTTTACTGTGTCATAACACAATTGGTTTCAATATTCATGCTGACCTGAAGAATTGTTTGTTTTGAGGTATATAATCTTACATCCCAAATGTCAAGAATAGAAAACCCCTCTGTGCTGTATATAGTACATCATTTTCTATGAGGAACAGTATGGGTGATGTTAATACCAGATATTTGGATTCAGTTTCCAGCTGGTTCTGCCTATGTTTATTTATGGGACCTTCGTTGACTATTCCTCTTTTCTTCCCACTGGGTCTGAGGATTTGATGACATAAGTAAAGCCTTAGCATGGGACTCAACGAAAGGCAGTGTGTCAAGGGTCCCCAGGATGACCCCAGGTTCAGAGATTAATTAGAAGAACTTACAGGACTCAGCATTTAGTCATGCTCATGGCTAAGATTTATTGCAGCAAAAGAACAGGAGGCAAAATCAGCAAAAGGCTAAGTCCAGAGAAAGCCAGGTGCAAGCTTCTAAGAGTCTTCTCCCTGTGGAGTCACACAAGACATGCTTAATTCCTTCTGTAATGAGTTGTAACAACACATGTGAAATCTTTTCCATCATGGAAGCTCATTGAATCTCTGAACCTGCTCAGGGTTTTGTTGGGTGCTGAGAGGATGCACAGGCCCCTTTCCATTTCTTCTTCCCATGGCATATGGAGTTAATAGTATGCTGTTTGGGCTTCTGAATATACTATTTTATTTTATTTTATTTTATTTATTTATATTTTTTTTGAGATGGAGTTTCACTCTTGTTGCCCAGGCTGGAGTGCAATAGTGTAATCTTGGCTCACTGCAACCTCCACCTCCTAGGCTCAAGCAATTCTCCTGCCTCAGCCTCCCGAGTAGCTGGGATTACAGCCATGTGCCAACACGCCCAGCTAATTTTGTATTTTTAGTAGAGGCAAGGTTTCTCTATGTTGGTCAGGCTGGTCTCGAACTCCTGACCTCAGGTGATCCGTCCACCTCAGCCTTCCAAAGTGCTGGGATTACAGGCATGAGCCACCGCGCCCAGCCCTGAATATACTATTTTATATTCTTTGTGTATGTTGTATTTTTTCTTCAGCAGATCCATGTGTGTTAGTCAAAATAGTGTGAGAGATCAAACACTCAAATGCATTCAAGGGCTAGGCAGATTACAGAAATGAAGGGAAATGCTTACAAGGACAATGGAGAGTTGACACTTTCAAAAGAAAATGGAACCTTTCTCCCCTGACAAAGGGTGTTCACTGGATGAATTTAGTCTGAGGACATCAGTTCAGAGCTCCTGGATTAGACTGTGATTTTCTTTAGGTCAGGGATAATTTCTTATATAATTTCATTATTTCCCCAATAGAAAAATAATATTTTTTCACTTATTCAACAATATTTATTCAATACAGCCATATGCCTAGGATAAAAGATGAAAAAGACAAAACCTTTGTTTCAAAGATATCAGTATTGTATGAAAACAGTCAAATAGGGAAACAGGTGCATGACAGAGTCATAAATTCTATGTTTGAGCTGTGTTATTAGATATTACCAGGAACCTTGTCTATTTGCATAGACCATGGCTTCCCTGGTGCCTATACAGCACCTGGAATATCACAGATATTTAACATATATCTGTTTAATGAATATTTGAATCAATGGTACAGTGATTCCAAAACAATTTGACTGATTATTAAAATCATTTGGGGGAACTTTATAAAAATACAGGTTACTGGGCCCAACTCCAGACTTCCTGAATCAAAGTTGTGGGAAATGCAACCCAGAGACCTGACTTATCTACAGCTTTTTTTATCTGACCATGATATTGGGAACATTGGCCAACTGAGGTGCTCCCTTGTTCTGTTTCACTCTTGCTATTGCTGAGAGAACTGAATGAGTGCAGAAGGCGCGGGTTCTTGTGGGAGGAGAGGTTGGTGGGGCTGAACTTTGCTATGCACCTGAACTTGTCATGTAGATGCCCCTTCCAGCCAAGCCCCTACAAGTTAGATTGTCTGAAGCAGGAGGGTCCAGAAGCCTGATGAACTGCGTTCAGGAATAAGATATGCCTGGAAGGATTCAGTTATTGATCTTGGCTGTAGGGCTTTCCCTGCTGTATCATTTTAGTTCTCAAATATAAATTCTTAGGGAGGCAGAGTTTCACAGGTGACGTCATCTCCAATTGCCTGTGAATTAGCACAGCCCAGTGGCCTTATTATTTTTTATTTATTTATTTTAGCATTTCTCTGCTCTACAGGTCAGAATCTTGATTCTACAAGAATCTAAGCTTCTTGACCCTAGGGATAGTCTCTCTTTTATTTTTTTTAAATTTTTATGCTCCAGGGATATTACTTGCCCATGTTTGCTGGATAAATGGATGGATGAGTTGAATCTATTTGAAATTTTAAATGATGTATTATCAGTTTCTATTTGCCTTTTTTTTGCTGTTGTAGAAGCAAGCACATGGAGAAATTAGAAGTAGACCCTAGCAAGCACTCATTCCCTGATGTGACTAACATTGTTCAAGAGAAAAAACGCACACCCAGAAGACAATCTGAACCCAAAATTATACCAAATGAGGAAGACCCAACCTTTGAAGACAACCCTGACGTGCCTCCGCTGATTTGAAACATCTGGTTATGTTGTCATTGGCTGAGACTTACCGGGTCCAACTTTGGTTGGTGTAGAAACCGTATGCATATTATTCCTGGGATAAACAGTTATTTGTCAATATTGCTACTCCAGTGTTTTGACTCTTACTTTGCATAGTAATATCCTTAAGCTAGCTTCAGATTAAAATGTATGTTCTACATTTTATAATAATGAGTTAAATGCTATAACTCATCATTTACCTATAATAAAGGGTTGGTATTGAAAATGCTTAGTAAGATCATAGAACTATTGCATAAAACATTGATTATAAATCCCAGACCTGTAGATTAAATTGTAGATAAAAGGACTGAGTATTAAATTGGTACTTCAGCAAATTGGTCAAGCTTAGAAGTTAACACTGTAATTTCAGATCCAATTGGAATACTTTAATACAATTTTCAACAGCATTTCCATTTTCCTTCTCATGATGTGTCTGCTTTCTCTGGTGGCATGATATAATGGCAAGAATATGAGTTTTGAAATCAGGCACCCTGTATTTGGATTCCAGCTCAATCACTTTGTAAAGACCTTCAGCAAGTCCTTTAATTCTCTAAGCCTTAGTGGCTTCATGTATAATTTGGGAATAATAACACTTGCCTCACAGGCTTGTCTCAAGATAAACTGCAGAAAAGCACTTAGTACAATGTCAACCCTAGAGAGCCTCCTCTCTCTCCTCCTTCCCTTTCTCCTCTCTCTCCTCTTTCCTGCTCCTTCTTCCCCTCCCTTCTCAATTACTTTTTCCCTCTTATTCTCTTTCTTTACCTTTTTTCTCCCCATTCTACTCTACCTCCTCTACTTCCTTCTTTACTTTTTAAATATCTTACCTGTTCTTTATCTAGAACATTATGAATTCAATATTTCACATACTGTAGGAAAAATTACTGTTACACTGATCATGGTGTAGTAGCGTTTAAATCAGTTTCCCCAAATCTTCATTCAACAAATCCTTATTGAGCAACTATTGAGTGCTAGCAACCTCTGTGTTCATCAGGGATTTAGTAGTAACAAAGCAGACAAATGCATACACACAGACTATTTCAGGTGGTGGTCAGAGCTGTGAAGGAGAATCAGAGTGAGGGGATCAAGGGTAACGTGTGCTTTTTCAGACAGGGCCTTTCTCTATTAAACAGGCTTCCAACGGAAGACTCTCTTAATGTTTAGCAGATAACCAAAATGCATCAGTTAGAAAAATAAGATGAGAACCAGGGATTGGTTATGGGAATGCAATTGGACACAAATGTGGGAAGAGCTGGGAAGTGAAGCTCTAGAAGGGAGAGTTGAATTGGAAGAAGCATTGGTGCAGGTAGGCAGTTCAGAACTCGCACAGTCTGAGAAGCTGAAGTAGGACTGTGGCTGGGAGCCTGTGGAGAGGTCTACGGAAATTACTTTGCTGCTGAGAATGTTGCCTCTGTTTATCCACTACTCCTCTGGTCCATGACCAAGATCCTGGTGGGTGGACTTGGAGCCAGCCTTCGTCAGCAGGCCTGTGGTAAGAAAGATGGGATGGACACAGAGTGGTAGAGATCAAGGATCCGCTGAGGCGGTCTGAGTTCTTCTGCATCTGTCCATCACTGTGACTGATGATGATGACTGAGTATAACACCTTTCTTCAGTTCTGCTTCCCAAACCTCAGGCAGGTTCCTCGTGGGGTCAACTCTACCTGGGAACCACATAGTGAAGGAAATTCCGGAAAACAGTTCCCAGCCTTAGCCAGCTTGACATATCATAATCCAACAGAACTGAAACTCCACCAACTTGGAAACCATATACATTTGTCAGGACTATATTTAACTTCCACATAAAGAGAAAGCAAAATAATACTTTTGACCAAACTAATACAATTATGCCTTAAACAACCCAAACTGTGCTATCTGTTATGGACTGAATAATTGTGTACTCACAAAATCCATATGCAGAAGCCCTAACCCCCAGTGTGATGGTATTTGGAGGTGGGATTTTGGGAGATAATTAAGATTAAATAATATCATGAGGGTTGGTTCCTCATGATGGGATTTGTGTTCTTAAGAGAAAGAGACACCAGACAGCGCTGTCTCTCTCAGCCATCTGAGGACATGACACTAAGTCAGGAGGAGAATCGGCAGACACCTTGGTCTTGAATTCCTGGCTTCCAGAGCTGGAAGAACTAAATTTCTGTTGTTTTAAGCACCCATTCTATGGTATTTTCTTGTGGCAGTCCAAGCAGATGAGGACATTATCCCTCTCCCAAAAAAGATACACAGAGTCCTCCATGTGACCTTTTTCATCCGTGACTGACGGTTATTTCTTTCTAGAGGAGTCACGCTCTCATTTTTATATCCTATGATTTAAATATTGAGATATACCGTGATGAATGCATCTTACTTTAGAATGGAAAAAAAGAAACAAAGTGAAGGGAATTTAGGTATATAGACAAATTCATGTGGGTGTAAATATGTGGTCCACTCTAACTGTGGAACCCACGTGGTGTTTTGGGTCTCCTGGAATTACCATTGGTTCAGAGCCAATGTCCAGTAATCCCTGAAATGTCTGGGTGTTTCTTTCCTCTCCATGCACAGCCACCCTGGTAAATGTGGGCCTTTTTGCAGAAAGCTAGAGGGAAGATTTACGGAATAAAATTTTGGCAGTATAGCAGGGTTCTTCCCCAGGGAGATCCAGCTGTAAAGTAGTAAACCAGGAGGATATCTGGGGGAAGAGTGTTCCAGAAACTAGACAGATTTTTACATATGGATATGTGTGCTTATACATATATATATTCATATCAAAGCAAGAAAGAAATACCGTCTCTACTATAGATCTTGATTTTGAAGCTAATCACGTGGCTGCAGCTGGTAACTGATATTTATAGCCTTATCCTTCCACTGCCTATTTCTTGCTATTTTTCCTTCAATAAGCACCTCCACAGGGTAATTCCTGGCCTTATGGGGCAATCCAACCTTCATTCCTGCACATTCTATGCCATTGGCAGTCCTATCTTTATTGGGTTATTTAGTTTCCCATTTATTGTTATCACAAAACTGGAGGTACTAAAAAGATGCCCTGAGAATTACCTGCATTTCAGTTAAATTCCTCCCTCGTCTCTTCTCTTCTACTCCCCTGTGAGCAGTAGCTATTCATTTTCTTGTGATAGTGAAATCACCCAGCCTGCCCTTCTTTGCCTGTTAGTTCACCGGCACAAAGACCCCAACATGGCCAGATTGGTCTCCACTTGCAATTAGAAGGCAGCATTGTTGTGTTTTCTGATGAAAGTGCTCTTTCCTTTGGAACCAATCCCACTAAACCAGCAGAGCCCCAGGTTCCAGAAGCAGGAAGTAAAATGTTGTCAAATTAATTAGTAGGGGTAGTAGTGAGCAGGCCACCCTCATTCCCATCCCTTGATTCCAGATCCGTGCATCTTGGCTATGGGTGAAACAGCACCATATATTGGATGGGGATCCAGATTATATATTATATTCCAAAGAACATTACCTCATCCACAAAAAGCATTATATCACCTGCTGGCACTTTAATTAAACCTTCAAAAGGCCACTTCATTGTTCTATCAGGCCAACTGCTCCAGGTAAGTTCATTGAATCCTATAGCATCATTTTTTTGGCATGCTTCATTTGCTGGAAATTGTGTTGCTTGGTTAGAATTGACGCTGAATATATGACAGTGAATATGGCATTTATTAGGTAAGTCCACAGATGGTGGTTTTGGCAGAAGCATTATAGGGAAGAAAGGCAGATTTATGTTTAGAATAAGTGCATTTTCCAGTGAAAATAAGAGTCTGTCTCTTCTGTCATAGAATTGTTCTTGTGTAATCAACTTGCCACCAGGTGGCTGGCTGGTTCCACAGGGCTTTTAAGTGGCCATATATGGGACTAAGTGTTGGCTGCTACTCTTGTCTTATTTGTCACTGTAAAAGTCTGAAAACATCTGCAAATTATTGGACACTCCTTCCGTCATGAGGTGGAGTCTCTGCCCTCTTATTTTGAATCTGGGCTAAACTTGTTCTTACCTATGGAAATGATGCCATATGGCTGTCATGGCCATACCATTAGATGGCTGTCACGGCCATGCCACTGGATGGCTGTCATGGCCATAGCACTCGATGGCTGTCACGGCCATGCCACTCGATGGCTGTCACGGCCATGCCACTAGGTGGCTGTCAGGGCCATGCCACTGGATGGCTGTCATGGCCATACCAGTTCTGCGTGGTTCTCTTGGGACACTTGCTCTGGGTGAATCCAGCAGCCATGTAAGAAGTTCAACCACTCTGGGACTGCCATGCTGGAAATGTCACACATGGCCATTCCAGTCACAGCCTCAGCAGTGTTCCTGGCTACCGCATCAACTTCCAGACAGACAGGGCTGCCATATTTGATGTTCAGTCCAGACAAGCTTTTAGATTCCTGCAATTCTAGTCAATATCTGGCTGCAACAGCAGGAGAGACCCCAAATGAAAGCTGTACTGCCGAGCCTTCCCAAAATCGAACCCACAAAATTGTGGGCAAAATACAATGGTTTTAATCTAAATTTTTGGGGCAATTTTTCTTTTTTTTTTTTTTTTTTTTCAGTATATATTATTTATTTATTGCATTTTAGGTTTTGGGGTACATGTGAAGAACATGCAAGATTGTTGCATAGGTACACACATGGCAGTGTGATGTGCTACCTGCCTCCCCGTCACCTATATCTGGCACATGGACACAGGGAGGGGAGCAATTTTTCTTTTGGTAGCAATACCAATCAAAACAGATTTGGTACCTGGAGATGGGGTTCTACCATAACAAAAACCTAAGACATATGGTTATTGCTGGGGACCAGGGAGCAGTCAAGCTGGGAGGACCCTGAGGAGGCTGATGCATTTGGATGTTCCAGGAAACAGGCACCAAGAAGAAGTTAGAAGTGCAAGAGGGGTTAATACCTGGGGAAGATGGATAAAAGGGGGAGCAAAAGTACAAATGGAAAGTCTTAAGACTCTCAAGCTTAGATGCAACTTTGACACCTGTCAAATGAGGCAGAAGGAAGAGGAAGGGGGATTGGCTGGCAGGACCCTCTAACTGCAGCTCTGGGAAAATCTCAGCCAATGGGGAGCTCCAGCATGGATTGTGGTAGAAGACGGGCATGTTGGGCAGAAGTGGCTAAGCCTGGATGCCCCTGCCATGTTGAGTTATTGACTGGTAGCTGCCTTGAAGAGTGTGGGGGCCTCTGCCTAAATGCTGCAGTGGATCTGGGAGGCACTTGGCACTGAGGTTGTCGGCTCTTCGCACTCCTTGTGGTAGGTTCTGTCTGGAAGAGGTCTGAACAGTGCATCTCTGTGGCTGCACAAGACTATTAAGGAAACTTGATAGGCCCCAGGAGGCTGTTAGTGAGGACGTATAGGGAACTAAGGAACATGCTCTTCCTGCTGGAGGAAAGGAGGTCCTT